CTAAACTTTCACAGCAAATGATGCTGAGTTCCTTTGAGTATAATCTTCACATAAATTGCTCCAGTGACTCTCAGAACAATGCTTGAAATGTCCACCCTGTTTTGCATTTAATCTTAATCTAGAAACAGTTCAGGGAGCAAGAGAAACACTTGTAGAACTCATTATCCTTTTTTGATCAGTGGTCAATTAATGCATTATGATGCTTATTTTAAAATACCTTTCAATAATTTTCAGTTGTCATTGTAGAAATATGATAAAGAGTTTGATGTGAAAACGTTCCAGTTCAATACCACTAAATTCTTGCAAATTAGTGAAATATGGTCAGTCACAGTAATATAAACAGTATTGATTCCTTTATTGCACTCTTGTTTTGCTGTAATGATTTTGAATGTCTGGATTACTTATTTTTTTCCACACTTTCTTATTAATTTATTTCTCTCTCTTTTTTTTTTTTTTTTGGTGGGGGGAAGGGTTGTGGGTTTTTTGCTTGGTTTGTTTGGAGATTTTTTAGGAACTTGCTGCTTAGTTCTTGGGTCTCTGTGCCATAGTGAGTTTGCACTGACTGTCATTTTATGTGCTCAGCTCAAATAAACTTCTACAAACATACCAGACTGATATTATAAATTTCTGAGTCATTTCACCTGGAAGTAGAAACTTTTTAAGAATGGTGTACCATGTGCTCTAAATTAGAAGGTAAATATATATGGTATGTAATATTCAGACCTCATTTCAGAAGCAAATTATACAAATACTGCTAAAATTAGTGTATGTGAACTGTTCGTATTCAGTTTTTATACTGAAGGCATTAAAAAAATTGATCTAGGCCTTCAAAAACATTTGAAAATTTTAAAATTACAACTGTTAATAGCATTCTTGTAGCTGTTTTCACCTGGTGTCTAACATACAGAATTTTTTTGGGTTGGAAGGGACCTTTGAAGATCATCTAGTCCAAACTCCGTGCTGTGGACAGGGACACCTCCCACTAGATCATGTTGCTCAAAGCCCCATCCAACCTGGCCTTGAACACTTCCAGGCAGGGGGCATTCAGAACTTCTCTGGGCAACCTGTGCCAATGTCTCAACACCTTCATAATAAAAAATTTCTTCCTTAGATCCAATGTAAATCTACCTTCTTTCAGGTTAAAAACCATTACCCCATCTCTTGTCACCACAGGCCTTGGTAGCAAGTTTCTTTCCATCATTCTTATAAGCCCCCTTCATGTATTGAAAGGATGCCATAAGGTCCCCCCAGAGCCCTAACTCTCAGCTTGTTTTCGTAAGAGAGGTGCTCTGATAATTTTTGTGGCCCTCCTCTGGACCTGCTCTAACAGATCTTTCTTGTCCTGAGGGCTCCAGAGATGGATGCAGTACTGCCCTGGGGGTCTCATGAGAGTGGGGTAGAGTGTTAGAATTGTCTCCCTCGACCTGCTGGTCATGCTTCTTTTGATGCCGCCCAGGATATGGTTGGCTTTCTGCACTGCAAGTGCACATTGCTTTCTTATGCCCAATTTTTCATCCATCCTCAGATCCTTCTCTGTAGGGCTGCTCTCAATCCCTTCAGCCCTCAGACTGTATTGATGTTGAGGATTGCACAGGACCTTGCACCTGGCCTTGTTGAACTTCATGAGGTTCACATGGGCTCACTCCTTATGTGTGTCAAGGACCTGCTGAATGTTATCCCTTCCCTCTACCATATCAAGTGTATTTGGACACTCCTTGCTTTTAGGATTTGCTCACATTTGTGTTGTTAAACAGTGCCCAGACAAGGGCATGTTATCACCTAATGTAGTAAACTGTTAGATGCTCAATAGCACAATATTAGCCTATGCAAAGTAGAGCACTTCTAGGATTTGAGGGCATTCTCCTGGAGCTGGCATCATCTTGGGAGCTGTGTTCAGCCAGCCTGCTTGATGAATGAGAGAATTTATTAGCATAGGCACGAGCCCTTCCATGTTGGTCGGCTTGCATGCCTAGGAATATCCCAGACATCTAATTTACTGGTATAGATGTGGCAATTCTGTGGCTTGTTAGTTGGTGCAAGAATAGCAGAGAATATGTGTGAAAATCTATACCTACAGATCATGTTCCTGGAGTTTAATGGTAAATGAATATGGAATAAACATTGAAACGTTTCAGCAAGGTCACATCCTCATGCTTTCAATGTGCAAAAGCAATCTTATCAGTATCAACACTACAGTGTGTTGACAGCTTGGATGTAATAGAATGGATGTAACAGAATCTTGGTGGTGACTACTGCTAGAATTACCTTATTCTAATTCACTAATTGTTTTTCACCTCTTGTACAGATGTTTGTCCTGTCTTCTGTAAGGGACAGTTAAACTTGAAATTCAATGCATTGCTGTCTCGAATGCTTTTTAGCATGTGGGGATCTCATTAGAAAAAACAGTGGTAAATTTGTGTGTGCCTATAGCATGACAGAGGTTTAAGAGCACAGTACTTTGAAAGTACAGAACTGTATAGTAGTATCTTGATAATGGTCTATCTGAGATGAGAATAGTCAGCTGTTGCACATTGGAAAACTGGGAAAAAAAGTAGCAATTACCTTGCAGAAGTTGTTGCCACAGTGTGTGGGCACATCTTTCCATCTGAAGAAGCAAGAGATGTTGAAATAATTTCATGTAGAAAGGAAAGATTCCTGAGTCCTGGAGTCCAGCCTGGAAAGTTGAAATGCTTCTCTGCAGCCAGAGAAAACTCAGTTGATTCCACTGTGACCCGCCACAAAGGGGACCCTGCATTGGGGCAGGACCTGCCTGGTAGGTGCTGGCCAAACAGGGAGTAGGAAAGGCTTTAAGAGAGAGTATTGAAAGATGCATCTTAAATATGCAGCATAGAGGAACTATGTTATCAGCAAAGGTCATGGAGTGGTTGTGCTAATAGTGCTGTGCACACACTGAAAGCACCAGCTTCATTTTGGGATTGTGTTTGGGGTTAGCAAGGCTGATGGAAATGCAGATTTCCCAGCATCATTGCCAAAAACTAATGCTAACTCTAAACCACTCATAGTGGTATACTAGTCATGCATTATGGCCCTCCAAGTATCTTTTGGTGTACTTCAGGCAAACCTGGGAGCTGTCTCAAGTGCACCAGATGCTTATATCAGGGGCCTTTCTGTGTTCCTCACTGCTCTCAGAATGCTTCTAAGGTGAACCAGGGCTTTTGAGTGACATTTTGTCACTCACATTTTGTCAGGCTCTGTCAGGTACATTCTGGTATGCCCACAGGAGCCTCCATCAGTCTTGCATTGCATCTAAGGGCCCTTAAAAGTGCATCTGGTGACTCCATTACTCTTACCTTCAGCCACACACAGCTGTCTATGAATGCCAGCAGATAGCCCTGCACCATGGCCCTCTGAGTGCCTTTTCATATGTCCCAGGAGAAGCCAAGAGCCATTTGGAGTGCACCAAGGGCATCTATTTCTCTTCTCCCCAGTGGTCTGAGAATGCCTTTTAATGCACTACTTGATATGCTGTGAAATTAAGCATTTTCAGATCCCTTCTGGTCATTCCACAGGGCTTCCATGTGTCTTTAATTGTACCTAAGGACCCCTGGAGTGCCTTTGGTGTGCCCCTGGGGTACCTCTGAGTGCCTACAGGCCTAACCCAAAGCCTGAACTTACATCCACACCCAGTGGCCTCAGGTTCCTTCTGGTGCACAGCATGCCATTCCAAATGCCTTTTGGTGTGCCCCAGCAGTGTTCGAGAGCCATCTGAAGTTCACTGGGACATCTGATCATCTTTCTGTAGTCCCTCTGTTGCTGTGTGTCAAGCTGCAGGGATTGGCAAGGGCTGCTTTCAGCTTGTGCTGTTTATAACTTTGTTTTGCTTTGCCTGAGAGTGCTATGATAAAGCTTATGAACCTAGTCAGGTATTTGGGCCTTACATCACTGCTGTTCCAATCTGAGCAACAGAGATGTTGACTGTAGTATGCTAGAGTAGTTTATATCTGTTTAAATAAAATTGTTCTTTCTGAAGTAGAACAATGTTTCAATACCCAAGCACTTTAAGTCTTAAACAACCTGTACAAAACTAAACAGACTGTCTGAGATGGGCAGAATTTTGACAGAAGCAAAAAGTTTCCATTGAGCACCTAAACTAAATAGTTTAACAATTTCAAATTAAAACACTTAAGAGCTCCTTCAGTTCAGAAAAGCAGATTTTATTTTGAACAGCAGCACATACAACATTTTCAAAATATTCATGTTTAAAAACAAGAGACTGCACTTCATTAACCAACTGGCTGTGGTTTCTGAATTGTTACAACTCTATTTGCAACCAGGTGGAGCTACTGCATTCCTATGAGTTGGATGCTCTTACGTTTCACTGGTATAATTGTGCAATATAATAACTGCTAGTAGCTCATGAAAAAAACCCAGACAGCTTGTCAATTTACTGTCACCTGGAGGCTTCAGCTACCTGACCAAGTATTTTAAATAGAAAAATGTTATTTAAAATAAGTATGCAAAATCATGAACTTCAGGACAACACTTTATGCACATAATATACAAATTTGAGCAATTGTATACATTTCTGAATGAAGTTTCCTGAACCAGGATTAATCCCAACTGAAGCAATATAGCAGCATTTTGGTAAGGGAGGGAACCAACTTTTCCTAAAGCCTTCCCTTTTATTTAGATGCAGAATAAAGGTTAAAAGCATCAGAAGTTGCTTACATTTCTGTATGCTTTGGAATACTATTGCATTACCATTTCTTGTGGTTCACCACAGTTTAACAAGTCTCAGAATATACTACATATAAATATCCTAACCCGTCCACCATTTATTAATTCACTACAGAAATATTTTCTACATAAATCTATCTTCTTAAAATATAAATATAACTTTTTGATAGAAAAAACAGAACACATCATCATAAGATTCAGGTTGCAGGTAATTTTCAATGCAGTAGAACTCTTAATGAAGCTGCTCAAATTATGGCAAATGACTCTTATCTCATTTGGAAGGAGGTGGGGGAAGGTGTGTTGAATAAAACGTGCAAACTGGTTAAGAATAAATGGTGATCACTTCACGTCCACTGCCTCGGACAAGGAGAACTCTATCCAGACCTTCTGTCAGAACTTCCAAAAACTCCATGTCTGAATCATCATTAAGTCAAGGAATTTATTCAGAAAAGAACCAAAATAGCCATTAATCTCAAAAGAAAAAGAAAAAAAAAAGACTGACATATAATGCAAAAAGCAAGTTCAACAATTTCATCAAGAATTTTTCCTGTGTTACCCTTTACTGTCCCGTTAAGTAACCCACCTGCTTGCTCAAGTGGAAGCAAGGCCTAATTTGGGAGACATTTCTAGTTCTGCCCTACTCACCTACAGAAAAGACAAAATAGAGATTTTCAAATTAGTTCAATACTGAGGAACGCTTTACATCAAGTCAATAAAAAAATCCCCCCACCACCATCAGTATTTCTTAAAACTCCGTTCATGGAATCAAAGTAATTTTCTTATAGAAAAAGTTATGCTTACCATGGTTACTAATAGTTATTCCAACAAGCAGACAATGACACAGTCACAAAAAGCAAACTCAGAATTTCAGGAAATATGGAAGCAATACAGCAGAGGATACAGTTTTCATCCCCTTTCCTGTTTTTAGGAGGTCCAGGCATATTCAGGAGAACTAGCTGAGCATGCTGCGATTTATTAAGCACAACTCCATTGAGCTTCACAGCCGTGTGCATTCTTCTCACATTTGACTGGTTCCTAGCATGCAAACAAACATTTTTAAGTCCTGTCACAATAGTTATATATTTGCATTATATGTTATGCTTGGGAATTTATACATGAAATTGGTATGTATGTAGAATAAGCTATTTTCATGGATACTAGCATTTGTACAACACATCACTGAAAATAAATGTGAGAAAATGCAATAGATAGGTTTAAAAAGATGGGTTTTTTCCTTTGAAAAAAACTCTGAAATTCAAGCAATTCTAAGCAGATTGCCAAAATGTATAAATCTTCCAATTGTCAGTTACCTCTTACAAAGATTAAGCATAAACTTTCCATTGCTGTTGAAATTAATTTTAGCCAAAAATACTGAGAATCCAGTTTACTGGATTATATAAAAAGTAACTGGATTTGTACAAGAAATTCCAAACAAAGAAATTGCAGGAAT